CTTGGTGCCCTTGGGGAGCAGCGACTTGGTCAGCGACGAGGCCTCGGGCCCGTAGCAGTCGGGCGGTGCGCCTGCCTTCTGCTTCGGTGCCACGGTCTCGGGGGTGTTGACCCCGACGGCGGGGAGCTCAGAGGAAGGCTGCCCCCTAAGACGAAGGCAGGATGAGGACACATCCAGATGAGGACAAATCGAGCATCCCTGAGATCGGGCGGGTTCGGAGGATGTAGCGGGCGCCGCTGCCTTGTCCGTCCTGGATTTTTGCTTGAGCGTTCTGGAATGCCCTGGAGCGATCATCGTCATTCTGCAAGCCTGCCTGGCCCCTCCTCCCCCACCGAGTGGGCAAGACAGGAGAACAGGCTTCGTCCTCCAGGATTTCGGAGTTTTTCTCTGGTCGACATGGTTGGATCCGTTTCGAACTCCTGGTCACGACGCGAGCGCTGGAAGAGGTTAGGGGGGCGATTCTGAGGGTTAGGGGGACGAAACCCAAGGCAGAGGTCCAGTTCAGGGAAGGCTCGACCTCATGATATCGCAAGATGCCCAAAGCACGTGCACTTACTCGCCCCACGCGTCGGAAGGCCAATCGGACGATGCCATGGGCACGGACCCGTGGCCAATGCCAGGGATGGTCTCCCTGCCTCTAGGAGGCCAGCCCGTGAAGAAATGGGGGGAGGGAGGAGAGGGGGGGGAGGAAGGAGAGGGAGGGGGGGAGAGAGGGAGGGGATGGGGGAGGCTGGGGAGGGGAAAGAAGAATAGGTTTCCCTGGGATGCCAGCTCGTGAAAAGAAACGGAATGAATGGGGGGGAAAGGGGGGAGGGCAAGCGAGATGCGCTAGCGAGACATCTGACGTCCTACCTCTCCCTCCAATCTTTTACGATGGCGTAGATCTCCTATCTGTTCGCACAGCCGGATGTCGAGCAGGGGAATGATCCCAAGAGGGTACGCAATGGATGAACAAGCATGGCGTAGAAGAGCACTGCAGAGCATAGCATGTCAAAGTATGGCGTGTCCTTTCGTAAAGAAGTATTGCATCACAAAGCATAGCAACGCAAAACATGGCATCGCACAGCGGTGCACAGCACAGCATCGCATTGCATGCCGTAGCATGTCACGGGATGACTTAAAAGGGTAAATGGCCCGTCTACGAGAGGACAAACCCTGTCCGGAATGCCAGTTCCATGTCCTTCGCAACCGTGCCTGCCCAATGTGGGCGCTTTCGAATGCCAAGTGCCGTCCAGAGACGCGGTAACGAGGTAAGTGCTGCAACGGGAACACGATTGTGAATAACCGAAACGCAGAAGTGAGAGCGGCGCTGCAACGGAAGCACCGTTGTGGAAGAACCAGGAACGAGCGGACTGAAAAAACGCAGAATTTGGACAAACCAAATAATGAAATCCTGGTTGTGCAAAACAATGCGCGGTGGGAACGGGACACTCTCGTGACAGAGTCAGGGGAGAGAGGCGAGTGGTATTCATATGATGTAATTGTGAAGGGTAGGCGGAGGGGAAGAAGGGATGGGGTCCCTGGGAGGCGAGCTAGTGAAGAGAAAAGGAAGGGAGAGAGGATGGAGGTTCGGGAGGGAGGGAGAGGATGGGGGGGGCTGGGGAGGGGAAGGAAGGCGCCTTAATTCTGATCTCCCCGGATGAGGCGGACGCGGGTCCCGCTCTTCAGCTTCACCTCGGGACAGTCCGAATTGACTTTGGCTCCAAGCAGTCAGCCTCCAGGGCCCAGAAGGAGAACGAGGACCAGGAGATGGGGGAGGATGAGGAGGAAGAATACAAAAAGAGGACGAACATCAGCAACATCAGGATGTCAAGGAGGTGAAGGGTTATGAGGATGAAGAAGATGCAACCGACGTCGATCCGAGCACGAGGGCGACGCAGACGAAACCGACGACGACAACGCCCCCGAGACACGACGGCAACGACGAGGGGACGGCGATGAGGTGGGGGGCGAGAATCATGGCAAAAGTGGCGAGGAGCAGGGGGGTGACGCAAGAGGAGAGGGAGGGGCAAGAAGGAAGCAAAAGCACCACGGCAGAGACGGCCAGAACCCGCCCACCACCCAGGAGCGGAGGACGCGAGGGAGGGTGACGGGCGGGAGCTGGGCACCCACGTCTGTCGGCCTGGCGGACGGTTCCACGCGCTGCGGCCCTGCAGCGATGGGCCTGTCCTCCACCACCACCACCATAAGTTGGAGGGGGAGGGGGTCCTCCTCCTCCTTCTTCTCCTCCTCCTCCTCCGACTCCTCCTCCGACTCCTCCTTCGCCCCTCCTCCTCCTCCTCCTCCTCCTCCTCCTCCTGCTCCTCCTCCTTCGCCCCTCCAACTTCTGGTGGTGGTGGTGGGAAACAGGCCCATCACTGCAGCTCTCGCCCGAACCCAGTCCCCCGACTTGCCCCCAGATCCCCGCCCTGGCGAACACTTGGGGAGGGGCGGAGGAGAAAAACCGCGGACCCTCTTCAGAACGGCATCCGCCGACTCCGAAACACCGCGAAGGAAAGAGTACATGGAATCGGCCCGAGCTCTGGACGCCCGAAATGGGTACGGAAAAAAAGGTAGTAGAATGCCCAACAACAAGTGTTGCCCCAAACTGACAGCGGCCGCCATTGGGCACGCGGCTCTCCGTCTTCAAACAACTTACGTCCGCAGCGACGCGGACAGCGAGTCCTGTTCAAAATGCACAAGGACTGCTGTAAGGCATCGTAACCCTTCTTCCCGTACCCATTTCGATCGCCCCGACAAGCGACCCTCAGAAAACATGTTCCCGGAAACCGCTCCGGGAACATGTTTCAAGACAACCTCTCCAGGAGCACGATTCTAAGGCCTCTCGAGAGGGACCGAGGCCCCCGACGACCTGCTGGGCAAGGGGGGAGACAACACGCTGCACTCGAAGTCCCTCCAAATGCAGCAGGAATACACAAAAGTAGTTCAAGAAAAATCTGGGGACGATTTGTCTGCTATTTTCGGCGATTTCCGAATATGTTTCGACTGTTTTTCATCGTTCGCCCAACATGCGCCTGTATGAAGACATGCCCGACCTCAACCCACCTCCTCGGGGATCTTCGGACCCGGGTCAATCCAGACCCGGGTCAGTGAAGCCTTGCAGAATCCTGCAAGATCCTGTGAGATCCCGCACCCAAGTCCATGTCGACGCGAAGAGGATCCTGCAAGATCCTGCGGGATCCTGCACCCAGACCTGGGTCACTGCAGCCCTGGTCCTGCACCATCCTGCAGAATCTGGCGCCCTGGCTGATCCCCGTTTGCACTGATCCCCATCTCTTCAGCCCCGAATGTTGGCCTCAGTAGGCTTAAGTCGGGCCTGTCCCCCTACAGGGGGATTTCGTGCCAGAAATAAAAAATAGTTAAAACACACACCCTCTAAATGCTCAAAAACGAACAGGAATAGTCTCCATTTTTTTTTTCCATTTTTGAATATTCCCCCTGTAGATGGACAGGCCCGACTTCACAGTAGGCCCTCCGTGCCCAGAACAGCGGAAGGCAAAACGACCAGCCGAACAACGGGGACAAAAACACGCCGCACGACGAGCCGAGGCCCCGAGGTGCAGCGGAACTTTGTCGGCCTCAACGAGGCTGTGGCCCTGGGAACCAAGGGGGGGGCCTGAGGCAGCATCTACAGCATCGTGATGCAACTAGGGGGGGCGCATACGAACCCCACCCCTACCCCCCTCAGAAATCGTGGGGGTAGGGGTAGGGTTCGCATGCGGCCCCCTAGTAACATACATTCGGGGTAAATTGAAGAGGACACGCGAGCGTACGAGCGCGTTTCTTTATGTTCGGCGATGACGGGCGTCATGGGGGGGGGGAGGGCGGGGGGGGGTATGACGTGACGCCCCCCCCCCGCCGTGGCTCCGGCACCACAGCCGCGCCCGCGCGCACGACGCGACGAGCGACGAACGACGAGCGACGACGACGACGCAAACAGCATGTAAGTGGCGATCTGCCCATTGCGCCTGTGTACACCACAGCGCTCGCGTGCACCACGCCGCGCGTGTGCACCACAGCGCCTGCGCACACCGCAAACAGCCGTGTGCAACGCACCGCCCGTGTATACCACAATACTTGGGAGCACTACAGCGCTGGTGTACATACACCGCAGCAGCCATGTGCAACAAAACGCTTGTGTACACCACTGTGCTTGCGTGCGCCACAGCGCCTGTGCACGCCACAACGCCTGTCTACAGCACAGCATCCGCGTGCAACGCAGCGCTGTACACCACAATGCCTGCGTGCATAGGACAGGTAGAAGGAGCATGTACGTCACGATCTGCTGCGGACAACTAAACACCACGCCAGGAAAGTTCTGAGAATCGAATGCGACGTTTTTCCCTCCTCCCTCCTCCTCCACCTCCTCCTCCTCCTCCTCGTCCTCCTCCTCCTCCTGTTCCTCCTTCTTACCCCCATGTCGTGCGGTTTGGCGTTACAACGCACGTGCGCATCTCAGCGTGCACCGCAGAATGGTCGATTGAATCGGTCCACTTGGTTCTCGGACGGCCAGTTTAGCTGGAGCCTCCTCGACGCAAATGGGAGTTTGGGTGATGCGGGCAGGCTCGGGGGGACTCGTAGATTCCAGCGGCGCTCCTTCGTCCATGAAGATTTGTTTTCCATTGTTTTCTGTGGGATCCACACGCGCTCCATGTTGTCACAAGGATCCCTTCTGAGATTCTATACGCAACAATGGTGGTGTGTTGCACACGGCTGACGTGGTGCACGCAGGCGCCGTGGCGCACCCAGACACTGCAATGCACGCAGGCATTGTGGTGTACACTGGTGCTGTGTTGCGCACGGCTGGTGTGGTGTACGGAGGCGCTGTGGTGTACACAGGATCTGCTGTGCCCGCAGGCGCGGTGGCACAAACTGACGCTGTGTTGCACGCGGATGCTGTGGTGTACATCGGCGGTGTGGTGTACACAGGCGCTGTGGTGCACGCGGGCACTGTGATGTACACAGGCGTTGTGGTGCAGATCGCCACCTACATGTTCGTGCTACCCGTCCTCCGTCATTCCTAAGCATTCCCAGACGCCGCCGGCCCCCCCAGATGATTGCCGTCATCGGCCCGGACTTAAAAACAGGCTCCAGCAGCTTCCGCGCGCACGACGACGATGAGCGACGAGCGACGAACCACGAGCGACGACGACGGACGACGACGACGACGACGACGACGACGACGCCTGCGGACCAGACACCTATGCGGATTCCTACGCGGACACCTACGCGGATCCCAATGCGCACGGCACGGCGGCAGTGCCCGGAGCGCACTGGGGGGGGGGAGCGTTACGTCATAGGGGGGGGGGAGCGGGGGCCATGACGCCCGTCATGCCCCAAGCAATAAAGAAACGGGCTCTACGCAAGACTCTTCCGAGGGCCACATTGCCGTACGCATGTAGAAGCAAAGGCCGCGAGGCACGGGACACAAGGGCACCCTCGACTCGGCAGGGTCGACCTGCCAATCAGCCTCGACTGTAGCAGCAAACTGAAGTTTTCTTGCCGGCGGCGAGGCAGCGGCAACCCACACCGGCGCGGGGCGAATCCGAGCAACCCAGAAGCGAACTGTCTGGCGCGCACGAGGACGGACAACAAAAAAACGACGAGGGCGGCCGCGCCAAAGCACCAGCGAGGCAGATGGAACTCCAAGACGTCGGCGCGTGCGCCACCTTCACTCGGGGATGGACAGACCGCCCTATAATAAAACGTGGTTTAGTGAAAACGACCTCGGGCCCGAACCTGGCGGGCGCAAGCCTGGAGAATGACGGCCGCGGCGCCCTCTCGAGATCCGAACACGGACAATTCACTAATCGACGTGTCAGGGTAGGAGGTCTGTCCACCCCGGATTCACGACAGCCTCTCGGAGAGCACCCGGGCACAAGCACCAAGCAGCCGAGGTCCTCCCCCGACCACCCGGCCGCCACGCCATGTGTGGCCAAGGCGCTCTTGCCTCCTGCCCGACGCGGGGAGGAGGAGGAAGAGGAGGAGGAGCAGGACGAGGAGGAAGAGGAGAAAAAGGAGGACGACGAGGATGACGATGAGGATGAGGATGATGAGGAGGAGGACGAGCAAGAGGAGGACGAGGAGGACGAGGAGGAAAAGGAGGCGACGAGGACGAGGTGCAGGAGGAGCAGTAATTGGGAGCCCGGCTCTTCGCCAACTGCTCCTCTCTGGCCCCCAGCCGCTGCCCACTTGGCGCACTCCGGTCACCGTGTCCCCGTCCACCACGTAGTCGATCTCGTCCGCCTTTGAGCGTTTTCTTATCCGGCGATTCGACATTGGGCGGAGGGGGGGGGGAGCGGGTCTGACTCGGGACCTCTGCTTAGTAGGCTCCACCTGCTCGAAACAGGCGCTAAGAACAACCAAGATCTGCTTCGAGGGGGGAGGGTGCAAGGGCCCGCGCCGACCGGCAAAACAATTAACAAAAAAACGATCACTTGCGAATGTGAATGCTCTGGGAGGTGCCCCGCTCACCCCTGAAAGGTCTTTAGACCCCTCCACATGGGGCGGCCTTGTTGAAGGACTGGGGTCCCACCAGTAGGGGGCAACTGACTATGTTGATTCTGCGGCCCCTGGCGCGCAGTAGCGACGACAAGTAGGTTTCAGGAGGAGCGGGAGGGGGAGGAGGAGGGGGAGGAGGAGGGTGAGGGGGAGGAGGAGGGGGAGGAGGAGGGGGCGGAGGTTTTAGGGCCAGTCCTGTTCACCGCAGATCCCTCGGGAGGTTTCCTGCCGATCCCTCCCGGGCCCTCCGGAGAGGCCCCTCGCCTGGAGGCCTCGACAAAAAAAACCCTCGCCAACCAATCCCCTCCCCTCCCCAGACCAGAACTTTCGAGGGCCAAAACAATCAACAACAAAAACACATGACTTCGAGATCAAAAACCCAGCCCAAGTTATAAGCAGTCCAGATCGGTTTATGGGTCTTGGGGGTTATCTTTCGACACTCTGGAGGGTCAGGGACAAAGGAGGCCATGCCTCGCGAATGCGCTGGGAGGCGTTTTAAAAACGCGCGCGGCTGCGCACGAACCATCCCGCCACCTCGGCAAAAGCAGGCCCGACGCAGAGCGCCGAGCCTACCATATACGAGGTGGTGGCCGCAGCTCGCGCCCAGCGAGGACATCGTCCCTGAAACGAGCCTGGCTCGGAGACGCTTCCCCCGCACAGGGGCGAGCAGCTTGCGCAAGATAGCGCGCCGCACAACGGCGGCAAACCAGGAATCGGCCAGCAGGCTGCACGATGTGCCCTTTGAACTCAAAGGGAGAGGGGGGCTCCATAGGGGACTCAGCGGAGCCCTCCAGCCCCAGCTCAAAAAAGGCGGCATTGACAGCGTCACAACGGGCCCTAGGCAAGGCCCCATCCGCGCCGCCAGGCCCGCTCAGCCGAGTGGTAAATCTAGAAAGCGGTCGGCCTGCAACTTGCGCCAAGCTGCTCGCGTTTCTGCCTGCTCAGAGGCGCGCGCGACGAGCAGTGGCACTGCGCGCGTCGAACCCCGCCCGCCACCCCCTGCGCAACCTCCAAGCCATCAGAAAAGCAAAGCGAGTTGCGGCACAGCATCTCCTCGCACGCTGGGAGGCATCGAGACCTCTGGGTCAGAGGCAGCTGCGGGCTGAGCAGCTGTCGACAAAAAATCAAGCGAGCGATAGCAAACTTTGAGCGACTCCCGAAGCTGAGTCATCCAGACCTTGGGGAGCTCGTGCCCGGCCGCCCCAAGCCTGACAAAGAAATCGGCCCGCGCGTTGCCGACGCAGTCCATGGCGCCCTGGCCCAACACTTCAGCGCCGAGCGCCTGGTCCTCATGGGCCTGCTCGACGTCCCTACGGGCGGGGGCCTGGCGGAAAGCAGGCCTCTCAGGCCCGTCTCGATGCAGCGCAGACGCCTGCCTCCACATCGAGGCGTGCCTGGCCGAGCCCGCGGCCAGACCCGGGCCCCAGGGCGCCCCTCCCTTCGCAGCGGACAGGCAGTCTGACGCAACCTCAGGGCCCCTTGGCCCGACGCGCCAGCGTTCCGCCCGCGAGCCGTCTGGACAGGCCCCGCGAGGGCCCTGCAATCAGCCCTCACGGGCCAGCCCTCCGGGGACAGGGCAGCCGCGGCCCAGCCGCGCTCGGTGTCTTCGGGGGCCTCCGGCGCCAGGCCACCCCTATCCGCGCGCAGGCAGAAACCCCAGGGCACATCCGCCGCGCCCCATGAAGACACCGCCGTTTTTTCGGCAACAGGCGGGATCTGGACGGGGAGAGAGGGCAACCCGTAAACCAAGTCAGGAGAATCGAAATCGAACGGGATCCCATGCGCCTGCCCCACAAGCCAAGCGCAGCGCCCGAAACCATCATCAGGCATCAGAGGGCCAGCGTCTGGATCCTAGCTTTCGGCCTGGAGCCCCTCGCATTCGTCAGCCTGGTAGCCTAAAGTACCGTTTAGGTGTTCGCTAACATCTCACTTCCTGCTCGCAACAAGACCGCGCGGGAACTCGCGGGCTGCTGGCCACATGGCCCCAGCCCACAGCGCTCTCAGACACGACCTTCGAGCGCCCTTGAGCTTCTGCTTCCAAGCCTCAGCGCGCTCATCCAGACGGCCCGTGACTCTGGGCCTCAGGGGGACTGGACGCAATCTGGACGGCACGGGCCCTGCTGACGCAAGCCCTCTAAAAAAACGAACATCGCGCGGAGAGGTCCTAAACAAGAAAATAACCTGCTGCTGGTCAGACTCAATGTTGCGCGGACCTATGCCGAACGCGCTGGGGCTTGTCGCGCAGGGCTGGGGCGCCGCGCCCCGCGCGCGCCTGAGGTCCGAGCCCCGCGGCGCGGCCATCCCAGAGCAACAACGATACCTCAAAACTAAAGGAACGGTCGCAAGGAAAAAAAAAAGCTGCAGGTTGGGCCACCGTGCGCGTTCGAATGGGGGGCCACGTGGCCGATGCCCCTGGCCCCCATGAGCGACGCCGTCAGTGCCCTCAAGCTGCGGGGAGTGGCGCCCGCGACGATAGAGACTGCAGCGCCGCGACTGCCACGCGGCATGAGCCCCGCCCTCCAGAGCCCCGCCGCTATCTCGCACCCCGCCGCCCGACGCAACGAACTCAGCCTATATCTCCCGCGCATCAGCGGCTCGCGCCTCCGAGCCCATCGCGCGAAGAGCACGCCTGCCAAAACAAGCAATGCGAAACGCAGCCAGACTTGTTCGGCTGCAGGAGGAGGCCGATCGGCGCAACATCGCGACATAGCTCACGCGCTGCAGCCAAACACAACATTCGCTTCATTATTGTCAGCCCCCTCACCCCCACTGGAGAGACGCATCATCCATGGGCGCCTGCGCTCTCAATGGGGAAGCGAGAAGCGACGCGCAAGACAAGTTTACTGAGCACCGCGAGCATCACCGCCGACGCAGCCGAGCACCCCGCCTGGATGCCTTGAAAACTGACGCACACTCCCGGCAGGGGCCCCACAGGCGTCGACCCTTCATGTGACCGCGGGGCTCTGGATGAGCACCCAGCCAGTCCTGCGCGGAAAACCCGCCTGCCGAAAACCCTGGTATAAAACAATGGGTTACCCGACCCCCCAAACTCATCCGCCCAGGCGGCGAGCCCCCGCGACTCGGCCACGGGCCTGCGCACTCGGCCCCAGACCCGAACGATGGAAGCAAGGAGAGCTATCAGCCCGTGACCCCCATCGGCATTCGGGTGGCGAACCAAACGGCTGAACATGTGCTTCGCTGGCGAGCTGCCCAGACTCTCACAGCGCATGGGGGGGGGGGGGGGGGCGGCCGCGGCAGCGAGCAGGCCATCCGATAGAGATTGCAACGATCCAGGGTGGATGCCCATGCGCCCGACCGCCGTGCGTTCGGGGAATATGGCAATCGCCTCGATCAAATAAAACACGGGATCTTCGGAAGCGACGGCCATGTATCGAAATCGGGCGGCAGCTCAGGCGCTCGGCATCCGCGGGTCGGCCAGACCTTGGCCCACTCGGAGCGCGTCGCATCAGCCAGCTCGCGAGGCTGCGCTCGCTCGGCGGCCTCAATGGACTCCTGGGGCCCACGGGCGCCGGAAAACCGACGCGCTTGCCGAGCGCCGCCCATAGAACTGCGCAGCACCCGGGCATTCCACGAGGCCTCCATCCACGACAGGAAAGCGGCCTGGCGGGCTTCAGCCCGGCCCAAAACTCGCTGAATCAAGTCGCCAGCCGCTGGGTCGCCAAAGACCGCTGCCTGGCGGGGCAGAGGCGCGCGCCAGCTAGTCCAGCTGCACCAGCGCGCTGCGGTTCTTCGCGACATTCCTCGCGAATGCCTCAGCCTCCAGCAGCGGCCGCGCCGCGCTGTCCAGTCTGCGCTGCTGCTCGTCGCACCCCACGCTCAGCTCGGGGATGTACGTCGCCAGCGCACGGTCTATCCCGCGAACCGGTCGGGCCTTGCGGGCCGCCGAACACCGTGCCGAATAGACCGCGCCAGCCAAGGGCAGTCGCGCGCGCGCCGCTGCCTTGGCCCGCTGCCAATCGACTTCCCGCGGCCCAGCAGGTCCGACGTAATTATTATTCCTCGCGGTCCCCGCTGCATCGCGCCTGTCAAGTAGCTCTTGCTCGACGCCCGCGACCGCTCGATCCATGCATATTGCCAACTCGTCACTCCGTGCTCGCGCTATCGACGCCGCTCGCAAGGCCAGACCAGCCCCCGGGGAATCGCGCGCAGCCCTGTGGCGCCGCCACTGGGACCTGCTCCGGCTGGCGCGGCACCCGCGCCGACGCGGCTGCCTCGGGTCCGTGCAGTTGCACGGCGACAGGGCGATTGGGCGACAGGTTGGCCGTCAAGCGCGCCTCTGGGAACGTCGCACGGATAACCATGTCATCGCTCATCTCGAAGTACTCTATGACCGATCCAGGGGGGCCCTGCATGCGTGCCAAGGCCGCAGATGCGACCGCGACGCCCCCCACGGCCGGGGCCCAAGACTTCAGCAGCACATGTTGAATCTCGCAATGCGCCCCCAAGGGCCAATCGAAACCGACGGCCTGCACGCGCTGGGTATACTTCGCGACCCCCGTCAACGCCGCAACGCTCGGCGGGCCGAACAACTCATCCACCCGCGGGCGCGCCGCAACGGCAGCGGCGCCCCCTCTCACTTTCGCACGAGCGCGGCCCGCCGCCGCCCTGGATGGGGCCAGCACCCCCGTGGGGCAAAAGGGTGGATGCGTGGTCTGCGCATCAATGGGCCGCGCCAGCGCCGCGCCGCCACGCGACCCTCGCCCGGGGCCGCCGCGGCACCAGCAGCCGCCCAGACACCGTGGTATCCTGCTGCTCGAAGCCTCACCTGAAATGGCCCAAGCTTAACTATCCTCGGTGAGGCGGTGCTCCTGGCAGCATAATACGCTCGGAACTGCCCCTAGCATTGGCTGATCGGCCTCAAGCAACTCGGCCAGAGGCCCATGGGAAGAAGTATTGACCGGGACAACCTGCAACATCAGCGCAACAAGCAGGAACCGAAACTCACAGATCATCACATGTCTGCTTCCAGGCGAAACTCTCGTCGCCGTCAGGCACCTGCATGTTGACGATCTGAAAGAAAGCTCTGAGCAACTCGGGGTCGCCATCGGGCTGGGACATCCAGGTCGGCACCCTGGGGGCCGCAACGTCGGGCGCGGCCGTGCCGCCCTCGCCGCAAGCCGCGGCCCCGCTCGCCGAGCCGCCCCCCCCCCCTCGCCCTGGCAGCGCCCTCTTCTTGGCGTTCCGCTTGGGCAGCCGCCTGCCTCGACGCCGCGGAGCCGCTCAGCCAGCTCCGCCGACCCGCCGAAAAAGGCCAGCAGCTCGCCAAGCCGCCACGCCGTGAACCCATCGGCGACGACTGGCAACACCTGCGCCAAGGAGGGCACCTCCTGCTGGCTCGGCCTCGGCACGTGCGCGACCAGCTGGCGGCGCTCCTCCTCGAGCTCCAGGAGCTCGGCGCAGAGGCGGCCCCGCTGCGCGCAGACTTCCTTGACAGCGACCTCCGCCTTGCACGCCTTCTCGCGGAAGTCGGCGACGTTCGCCTCAAGCCTCATGCTTCTCCATGCGGTTCTCCAATTTCTGACGCAAGAAGAATGTCTCCTCGAGCCTGGTGTTCAAGATCGCGCCCGCCACAAAATTCCTGCGCAGCTCAGCCTGGCGGACGCGCAACTTGTCCCGCGCCTCGACCACCTCGGCACATTTGGGCGACTCGAGCGTGGCCAAGGTCTCGGCAACATCCGCCAGCCATCTCTTGATGTCACCGTCGGGCCCCTTACCAAAATCATCGACCTCCATGGCTTCGGGCCCGCCCCCTTGCTGAGACTGCTGATTCTTGAGCCTTGCCGACTCAGCACGCAGCTTGTTGACTTCAGACTCCTGTTTCCCCCCTCCAGCGACACGCGTGCTCTTGGAAGGAGGCTGATCGAACTGCTCCTTGAAACCGTAGAACGCAGTACTTCTGCGATCTCTGCAAAACCGGCACCCGTCCAGATCAGCCCTGTTCTACCATCGATCGCCCGTCGAGGACGACCAGCTGAGCTTGCAATACCACGGCTTGGCCCAATCCACCCGCTGCCGCTTGTGCCCGCTCTTGGTCGGGCTTGCCCGCGTCGGCTCATCCCGCTTGGCCGCTGGCCCCGTGAGCGAGCGGTGGGCCACTCGGACGAGTCCGCGGTGCCGATGTGGTGGGGCGGACCACCACGGCGGAACCCGAGACGACTTGGCAGGCAGACCCAAGCGGACGATGAATGGCCCTCGAGCCTGCCCCCTCGGCTGCGCACAAGCTCCAACACTCGGAGCCACGTTGGAACTTGAGCCAAAATGGCTACGGACTTCAGCCAACATGGCTGCGGACTAAATCCGGGTAAGGATACATGATGAGCCCATTTTTCACCACCACTACCATAGGTAGAACAGGGAGGAGGAGGAGGAGGAATAGGAGGAGGAGGAGGAGGAGGAGGAGGAGGAGGACCTCCTCATCCTCCCTTCTCCCCCGTCCTACATATGGTAGCGGTGGTGGAGGATTTGCCCATCAATACGTCGAGAATCTCTGAGATCACTCCTTGGGCGCCGTGGCCCTCGCGGAGCGTTCTGGAGCACTCTGAAAGCGCTCCGGCACGCTTTGGAACAAGGGAAACCAAAAGGCACAGATGCCGTCATGTCGGGCCTGTCCCCCTACAGGGGGATCTTGAACGAAAAACAAGAATGCCCATGAATGTTTGAAAGATCGCCCCCAGACTATTTTTTAAACCTACTTTTGAATATTCCCTCTGTGGAGGGACAAACCCGACTTAAAGATACCGCTACCCCTTGGACCTCTCCCAGGGTGCGTTCTGACCAGGCTTTCGAGGCGAATCCAGCGGTGACGACGAGGGCCTCCCGGGAGGCCCCAAAAGGGGGAAAACGGGCGAGGGGTAGCGGCATGGGTACCTCTTTTGTCAGCCTCCGAGGAACGGACTTATCCTCGTCCTGGCCCCGCCCGACCTCTGGCTTATGTTGCATCCTCGGGGGACCTTGCCTGGTCTGTCGTGGCCCCCTCCGCGTCGAATCAACGTCGAACCCGTGTCTGCCGCATCGGATCCGTGTCGGATCCGCGTCAGCTCCGCGTCGGCTCCGCGCCAGACCCGCGCCGAATCCGCACCGAGCCCGCGCCGGGCACAGGCAGAGGCCACACCACCTCCCTGGGGAGCGGGCGAGGCCCCCCGAAGGTGCCACGCCCCTCCGGCGCTCCTGCAGCGACGCCAGCGCGGGGCTGGCCGCGGCCGGGCCCGCGCGGCCAGCGGCCCACCAGGCGCCCAGCAGCGCGCCGACGGCCCGCCGGCGCGGGCCGTCCTCCGCGGGCGCGCGCGCCGCCGCGGCGCGCCGAGCGCCGCGGCCGGCGGCGGCGGCCCGCCCGGGCCGGCGCCTGGCCCGCGGCAGCGCGCCCGCCAGCAGCACCACCGCGGGCGCGGCGGCCGCGGAGGGCAGCTGCGGGAGGGGGGGGGGAGGGGCTCCGGGAAGGGGAAGGGCCGGGGGGTGCGGAGGGGTGGCGGGATGGGGGGGGAGGGACGGGGGGGAGGGAGGAGAGGGGGGTGGCGGGGGAAGGGCGGGAGGGAGGCATGGGGCGTGAGGCAGAGGGCGCGGGGGGGGGAGGGTGAGGGAGGCAGAAGGGCGAGCAGGACGCGGGAGGAGAGGGGGGATAGAAGGGAGGATGCGGATGGAAAGGGGAGGGGAAAGGAGAAGCGGAAATTGGGGCAGGAAGAGGCGGTCGAGGACGAGGAGGAAAAGGGGATGCGAGGATGGGATTGGGGGAAGGAGGGAGAGGGCATCCTCCTCCACTCTTCTACCTCCTACTCCTCCTCCTCCCCTCCTCTCCCCCTCCTTTCCCTCCCCCTCCCGCATTCTCCCCTTCCCCCCCTCTTCCCCCTCCTCCTGTTCCTCCTGTTCCTCCGTTCCTCCTGTCCTCCTGTTCCTCCTCCCTCCTCCTCCTCCTCCTCCTCCTCCTCCTCCTCCTCCTATTGTTCCTTTTCCCTCCTCCTCCCGCCTCCTTCTCCTCCCCATCCTCCTCCTGGTCCTCCTGGTCCTCCTGGTCCTCCTGGTCCTCCTCCTCCTCCTCCTCCTCCTCCTCCTCCTCCTCCTCCCCATCCTCCTTCTCATCCTTCTCCTCCTCCTGCTCCTCCTCCTGCTCCTGCTCCTGCTACGACAACGCCGAAGATCACAATCCAACATCACAACTATGATACACGCACGCACGTTGCCCTCACCCGCCAGGAGCAGCGCCGCCGCCGCCAGACACGCGCCCCCATGCCACGCGGGCCTCGGCCGCGGTGGGCGTGCAGCCCAGCGCCAGCAGGTCGATGTCTGCGGCAGCGAAGTGGACGACCCGCTCCAGCGCTGCCCGCCAGGTCGGCACCAAGCGGGGGGCCGCCCACTGGTCCCGCATGCACGCGCCAGCCTGCGTTGCCAGGTGCTCAAGCGCCCGGTGCGTCCCGGCGCCGAGGCGGCCGTACGTCTCGAACGCGACGGTGAGGACTTCGGCGCCGTACCGGGCGCGCGTGTCCGTGTCCGCCGCCCTCGCCGCCTCCCCCACGCTGGTGGCCGCCGTCCGGTAGCGGGACGCGTGCGGACACCTGATGGAGACGTCGATGTAGAGGGGCTTGACAGTTCCCGGGAACGTCACAACGAGGTCCAGGACGGCCTCCACCACTGCACCAGTCTCGGTGATGCGGACCAGTTTGGGGACCGTACGCTCCACATCGACCTCCGCACGGCATCCCTGGAGGAGGCGCGCGAGCGCTGCAGCCAGGGCGCGGTGCGGCCGCATGCGCGCGGGGCCGTGGTTGCAGAGCTGGGGGTGCTTGAGCGTCGGGTCGAGCCGCTGGCCGCAGACGTCCTCGCCGTAGCCACTCCCGACCTTGCGCGGCATCCGGCAAGTGGCGCCCGGCGGAGCGGTGAGGGCGCCCAGGCGCCGCATCGTCGCAGCCCGGAAGTAGCTCGTCGGGAAGTAGTCACACGCTCCTGCTCCTGCTCCTGCTCCTGCTCCTGCTCCTGCTCCTCCTCCTCCTCCTCATCAGCATCAGCATCAGCATCAGCATCAGCATCAGCATCATCATCATCATCATCATCATCATCATCATCATCATCATCATCATCATCATCATCATCATCATCATCATCATCATCATCATCATCAGCATCATCATCATCATCATCATCATCATCATCATCATCATCAGCATCATCATCATCATCATCATCACATCATCATCATCATCATCATCATCATCATCATCATCATCATCATCATCATCATCATCATCATCATCATCATCATCATCATCATCATCATCATCATCATCATCATCATCATCATCATCATCATCATCATCATCATCATCATCATCATCATCATCATCATCATCTTCCTCCACATTATGTCCATCTCCTCCGCCACCCTCGAAGGATCCTACTCCGCCTCCTCCGCCTCCTTCTCTTCCTCCTCCTCCTCACTGTCCACCTCCGCCTGATACGTCGAAGGGGACGGATGCAGGAGGAGACGCCTAGCCTGCGCCGGAGGCGCCCGGTCGGCTGCTGCGCCGCGCGCAGCGACGGCGAGGGCAGGGCGCCCAACTGGCTGGCAGCCGATCGGCTGGCCGAAACCCCGGGAGGTTAGCGCCGGGGGGAGGGCCCCCCTGGTTGGATGCTGCCAGAGATGATCCAGGCCCACGTGCACCCAGGCTTTTCGTTTCCAACTCCACCTCCAACTCCTCCTGCCTTCTGCCCCCTCTTCCCTCCTCGTCCCCAATCTCCCTCCCCTCTCCTCCTCAGCTCCTCCCTCCCTCTCCCCCTCCTCCTGCTGCTGCTCCCCCTTCTCCTCCTTTTCCTCCTCCTCCTCCTCCTCCACCTCCTCGTCCTCCTCCTCCTCCTCCTCCTCCTCCTCCTCCTCCGTCCTCCAACCCTCCTCCCCCGTCCACATCGTGTCGGAGCCTGCAAGAGGTGGTGCCACAATTTTGTGTTTTTCGGGCCTTCCTGGTTTCGTGAGGAATAGTGCTCTGGAGGCCATGTGAGCTTCCGTGGAAAAGAGTTGGCGGGTCGCTAAGTTGAACCACGGTCATCTCTGGTGCACCCGACACGACAAGGGGGGGTGTCCGTCCTCCCCCTCGTCCCTCCTCCTCCTCCTCCTCCTCCTGCTTCTCCACCCGCCCCCTCTCCTCCTCCTCCTCCTCCCCTTCTTTTTCTCTCCTCGATCCCCCCTCCCTCCTCCTCCTCCTACTCCTCCCCCCGCCTTCCTCCCTGCCACAACGTTCGTTCGCCAGCTTCCGCGACGATGCCACTGCGCACCAATCCCAATGCCCCTGCGCCCTGACCCAATAAGGCTATCATACACATCATGAATAACGAGCTTCTGAAACAATGAGGGGGCGCAAGCGAGCCGGAACAGGTGAGAGCGCCGGTTGGGCACCGGGCAGGACTCGCTGGGAGCAACTGGGGCACGAAAGGGTGCGGGGAGAGGGGAGGCGAGGGGAGGCGAGGGAAAGGCGGGCGTGCCGAGTAAGCGCACGAGCGTGAGGTTGCGCGGCTGCGTGGGAACCAGCGGGTTTGGTCGGACACTAAGGACTGTGAAGAGGCAGACCTTGTAGAGGTACCCGGAGAGCATGACGTGGCAGAGCCGAATCTCCGACAACATGGGGAATACCCACGAGCCCTCAAACAATCACACGATAAGGTTCAAAAAGACCCCAACCCCCATAGACCGAACTGCCTCAGGCGACCCCTGCAACAGCACCAACACTCCAAATCAAATGACTGTCTCCCTCCTACGCCCCTCCACGTAATACCGCAGCCCCCCTTTCGTGCCTCGCCACACAACCAGAACAACAGTCGTCGCGAGATTCAATAGTTCTATGGACACGACTCGCTAAACTAAACAACAAGCAACCCCCTTGAGTCTGCTCCAGCAAAAACACTATTCGATCCAAACTCAACCAATTCGATCCACCCATCGCTCGGAAACCTGCGCCCCCTCCACCCCGCTACTATCCACAGAAACCAAAGCACGTAGCATGTAGAGTCCTGATCCCACACCGGATCCGCCGACTCCCCCCTGCCCACCCCAAGACATGAGACATACGTACCCGAGCGACGATCAAAAACTGGTCTTACGCGAGATGACACAGCGACCTTACGCGGTGGCTTACGCGGGTGCTTACGCGCGACCTTACGCGGGGAGCTTACGCGCGAATGTCGGCGCAACCGCACGAATGTTTTTGAGTCGCTCACCTGACAACGGACATGCGGCAATGGTTCGCCGGCGCCAAACCGCCCTGATGACGTGCACGCCCCTTCGTTCGCCGCCTTCGTTCGCCGGCGCCTACCGTTCTCTACAGGTCCTCCAAAACAACGCCCAAGCACACAAATCAGAACAAGCCCAGGAAGCAATCAGTAAACCCCCCTCCCCCCCCCCCCCTCATCAGAGGAAATTATAACGCTTCTGGCACCGGGGCCGGGGCGGAAGCGATATCCCCCGCAGGTCACCAGAGGTCCGCGGAGGGGAGGTCCCCGGAGGTTCCCAGGAGGCATCCAGAAAGGCCTCCACAAGCTTCTGAATGCCCGGTCCCCTTGGGCATTCCTTTCAGTTGCCGATAAGAAGCAGCGCAGGTCTCACGAGGTCTTATCGAGGTCTCACGCCCAAAGGGCTGGTGGGATTATAGTTGCTTGCGGTGATTTTACTGTTTGTCATTTTTGCTTTACCTTTGATGTCCGATGCGCGTCAGCTTCCCAGTGGTCTAGCAGGGCGGGAACCCATTGGCAAGCGTTCGTGCGCATTGGTTCTTCAGGTTGTCGGCTCACGTTGCCGCCAGCTTCGGGCCCGGGGGGGGGGCAAATTAATTAAATATATCATTTTATTTGTATGTGCTAACGATATCGCCGGAGGGCGCCGCCCAAAATAATTATTTATTTTATTTTCTGTGCTAACGATATCGCCGGGGGGTTTACTGTTTGCTTGGAGGGTTAATGACCATCAACGGCTGGCCCGTTCACCCCTATCGCCAACACTTCAGCTTCTCCGAAGATACCAGACATTCCCGGTGGAACGTCCTCAGACGCCGAACCCCATCGTAGGCATACATTCGCGCGAAAACGCAAAACCCTGCATCCTGATTCTGCCATGCGTAGTCCCCTCGAAGCCTCTGCAGACTCCCCTCCTCTTGGCACGTCAGTGCACTCCATAACATATCGCGATTGTAACCTGACAGCAGGCGCGATACCTGGGGCCTCGGTAGCAACAGCGATGAGCAGTGCCATTGCGAGCATACCTTGCTCGCAACACCAGCACAAAAAACTCGATGGCGACGTGCCCTCTACAACACCCAATACAGCGGTGAACATGACCACCGTGAATTAACAGGCGAAGAACTGCTTACTCGCTGTCGGGGGCGCCTGTCCCAGGGCGGCTGGAAAAACTATACCCTTACGGTGGCACGTCAAGGTATAAACTCTATAGCCGCCCTGGGGCAACGCCCCCGGTGACAGAAAAGTTTATGTTGTACCGTTCTTCGCCCGCTAAGTGCACAGCATCGCAGTTACGAAGTCACCCTCACCCATGTCCGCACCAACGCTTCCCTCACGAAGACGACGAATACCGCTGTGAGACACAATACTAAGAGCAGCCAAACCGAGTCAACTGAAGCACAGGCCCTCTGTGCCGTCATCATTCTCCAGCACCAGCGTGCACGGATTCCCCCGGGACCGTAGGCGACCCGAGGAGGAGGAGGAGGAGGAGGAGGAGGTGGAGAGGGAAGAGGAGATGGAGGAGGAGGAGGAGGAGGAGGAGGAGGAGGAGGAGGAGGAGAGGAAAGAGCAGATAGAGGAGGAGGAGGAGGAGGAGGAGACGGAGGAGGAGGAGGAGGAGGAGGAGGAGGAGGAGGAGGAGGAGGAGGAGGGGGAGGGAGGAGGAGGAGGAAGGAGGAGGAGGAGGGGGAGGAGGACAGGTCGCCGAAGCCCTTCGGAGAAACCCTCCACGCCAGCAACTTTATAATGCCAGCGGCGTGCGGATTCTCTGTGTGCAGGGACCCTAATTAGAGGCAGCTCCAGCAGTACTACATTTAGGTCGGGCATGTCCCCCTACAGTTGAGCGAAAAACATGAATACCCCAGAATACCCCAAAGCAAATGATAGAGAAATTGTCCCCAGACAATTTTTCAAATATTGTTGAATATTCCTCCTGTATGAGGGGGGGATATCATGGCGTGGGCCATAATATTTCCCCAGGTTTTATAGCGCCTCTTCTCATTTCATCACGTCCCTGGCCCCCCCTTGGGCCGCGCACGTGCCGCCGGCCATGACTTGCGCCCCCCATCCTCTTGGACGCCCTGACTACCTGCCAAACCACCCCAACCCAACCCGAAGACCCGAATTTCGGGTTGGGGGGGGGTACGGGCTTCACATGTGTTTTTGTCCATGTTCACCGACCCCCCCCCTTGGAGGTGGAGGGCGAATCGGGGCCTTCGGGTTAGGCCAGTGCCGGTGCCGATTGGGCACCCCCAAAACGCTCTCGGCGAGGCGCAGACGCTGGAAGGCACCTTAGGATTGGAACAACGTCAGGAAGCGACGCAGACCCCCGAAAACCTCGCACCTCGAGTCCGAAAAATCGCCACCCCCTGAGCTCACTGGTGGAGAACATATATGCACCCGCGCCCTCGCGGACCGGCGTATCTGGCGTTTTTTCGCGGATGCCCCGCGCAGACTGTATCCGTGAGGAGGAGGAGGAGGAGGAGGAGGAGGAGAAGGAAGAGGAGGAGGAGGAGGAGGAGGACCACTGTACACCCAAAAGAGTCATCAACGATGTTGGAGTAAACTCTCCATCCGAACTCCTAATTCATAGGCCCCTACAACGGTTCATTTCCATTGATGGAACTCCTTCGTTAGAAGACACCCGAGTGAAGACCCTGACGCATGCCAAAACATTGTTTTCCATATTCCAACGCCACGGATCAACTTGACTGTTGCGTCTTGGCGATCCTGGATCATGCCACAACACCATTCCTGGAAACTCAACACGGATAACCCATGTAAATGCTGCACCCGCATATTCCTGAATCTTTAAAAAAACGAAAATCATTCTTGGTACGTTGATGATGGGAACTCGTGAAAATTGTGGAAAGGCTAAAAGCGAGTATGCGCAGCGTTAAAACGAGAACCACATGCTGAAAACCACTAGCCCTCAATCCGTGAAGCTTTTGAAGAAGAATGTGCGCCGCACTCAGGCGAAAACAACATTTTGAAAACACCGAGCACTCATTCCGTGAAGCTCTTGTATGCTGTTTAAACGAATGCGCGCATCACGAAGGCGAAAACCACAGTTTGAAAACGACCCACCCTCAACTCTTGCAAATGTTGAAAAATGAGCGAAACGTTCATGCGATATTCACATTTTGAAAACCACCCGGCCTCAATCCGTGAAACTCTTGCACACGTTCACAAGGAATGCGTGCCGAGCTGGGGCGGGAGCAACATTTTGAAAACGACCCGCCCTCCATATGTGAAACCATTGCCTATTTGTGAACTTCCGAATCATACACGGCGAGGAAGTCTCAGGCGAAACGCCCAGTCCGCCCTAAACACCAACCCCGGGGTGCGACAGGCAGAAGTTGTCTATGCGGAAAAAGGAATGGAGGAGGAGAAGGAAGGGAGGAGGAGGAGGAGCAGGAGGAGGAGGAGCAGGAGGGGGAAAGGGAGGAGGAGGAGGAGGAGGAGGAGGAGGAGGAGGAGGAGGAGCCGAGCGTGCTGAGTCGCTCTGTCTCCCGCCGACGGCACGGCGCCGCCCGCCCCGGCGCGCGGCCGCACCTCGGCCTCCGTGACTAGCCCCTGCTCACAAGAGCACACGCGGGTGGAGGGAGTCGACCGCGGCGGGGGCGGCGCGCCCCATGCTCGTGTGCTTGAAGAAATGCACGCTCGATGTTCTCGTTGGAGACGTCCAGCAGCCCAAAGTTCGCCGCGGCCTCGGTCTGGACAGAAGCGCGGGTCGCAGCCGCGATCGGCCGCGGCAAGCGGCGCGCAGGTCAGGCAGCGCCTCAGGGAGTCGGCGCACTCCGCGCGCTGGAAAATGCAGGCCTTGCGCCCGCACGCGTATATGAGCCTGCTCCACGCGGCGGCCCACGACGGCGGCAACTTCTTCATGGCATCCTTCACCCTGGCGATCACCTCAGGGCGGACACATTCCCTTACGCCAGGAACGGGGCGATCGCGTCGGGGCCCAGCACCCCCCTCGCAGCGGCGCGCGCCAGCCGCTGGGCGCGAGCGGGCTTGCCTGCAGCATGGGCCCCCCTCGCAGCCTCGAAGGCAGGGGCCGGCAGCGTGGGCAGGCAGTCGCGGTGGTTCGTCGCCGCGGACACGATCTGGCGGGGCATCTCAACGAAGGGCGGCATCTTCCACCGGGGCGGGGACATGCACATGGCGGCCCGCGAGGCGCCGAGCAGCGCCTGGTCATCAGCGTAGTGGTCGAGGCCCCTGTGGAGGCGCTCGCGGATCTCAGGGAACTCGATAAAAGTGGACGTGGCAGCTCGGGCGATCGCGGCAATCATCGCGACCTGCATGGAGCGAGGAGCGTGAGCCCCCCAGTCCCTCAACCTCGGCCAGACCTTGACCCTGAACGCGCCGTTCGGGAACCGCAGGACCGAGGCGTTGACCCAGTTCCCGGACTTGAAGAGCTCGTGGAGCAACAGAGCGCACTGGGCCAGGTAGCTGAGGACGGGGGGGGGGCGGCTATTGAACAGAGGGGCGAAGCCCATCGACGGAGCGTCGCTGGCACTGTGCATCTCTGTGCGCCAGCGGAACTTGTGGAAGGCTTTCGCGTAGAGTAGGCTCTGAGTCGCCCCAGGTCCCAGCAGGGGCCCGAGGTCGGTCGGGCGGTCGCAGATGTTGACCTCTTGGATAAGGGGAACAATCGCGATCAGGGCATTGCGCAGGTTGAACACGAGCTCGTCGTCGACGGGGCCCGCGAGGCGGATGATGCGGCACTTGGCAGGTTTCACCGCAAGGCCCGCGATGTCCTCCATGAGAAACATCACGCCTGCCAGGTGGGACAGGTGGACCACTACCGCGAGCGCCAGTCCGAGGTCGTCGGCGCGCGCTCTGCAGAGCCCGCGGCCCCTGAGCTCGAGCTTCTTATCGAGGTCGAAAAATAAACAGGCAATGCCCATCGCGTAGAGTGCGTCGCTCCACCCGCAGCCCTGGACGATGCCGAATCCGATGTAGAAGAGCGGGATGCACTTGCCGGCACAAAGGGGCCATCGCGAGGATGTTGCGGCACATCGCGTCGCAGAAGTTCAAGACTGCCCCCGGGGCGCCCGTGGCTTCAGTGCGAGGTGGATGAATTGGCGCGCGAAGCTCGGGAAGGCCCGCGCGATGTCCAGCGACGCCAGCACGGGCAGCTTGGCCATGGCATCGGGGGCGGCGGACGCGATGCGGCTTTCGACATGCAGCTCCAGGATGTTGTAGCCGAAATTGCAGCGGCGAGTGAAGCCCCGCTGCGAGGCTGGGACCACGTCGGCAGCCACCGTGGCCATCGCAGCGATCATCGTGTCGCCGATGGTTTTGAGAGAAGTGCACCGAAGCCCGGGAACTTCAACTTTGGACGGGTCACGGTGGCAGCCGATGCGTTCCGCGTCGCCTGCATCCTTTCCTGCGGGGAGGAAGGCTGGGACCGTCGAGTTGGCTTCGTCGGGGAAGAGGCCGCCACAGAGCATCCAGCACATGGCGTGCCAGAGGGTCCCCGCGAACTTCTCCTGCGCGGGCCAGGCGATGCAGGGGGGCCCGTCCATGCCAGGCGGGATAGAGGAAGACCTGCTCGCGAATCCCTTGCGCGCGTCGTAGTCAGGGGGCTTCTACTTGTTGAAGTCGACCTTGGGCGCGACGTGGTCGAGGTAGCTCTCCGCCTTCGAAATGTCCACGCTCTTGCCCTGGAAGACGGGTTACCCGTGTTCCATGGGCTTCTGAAGCCTCTCGGTCGGCCCCGTCGCAGTCCCGGCGCTCGTCTTCACGCTGGTGACCACAAAGCGCTCGCTGAGCGGGCCCCAAAGCTGGATCTTGCGGCGCGAAGCCCGAGACTGCGCGCGAGCTTGCGCGGGCGGGAGACGGCTCCTCTGACGGGCCAGGTCGATGGCAGCGTGACAATGATCAGCGCCCATTCGGATGAGGTTGCTGGCCCACTCCTCGAACTTAACGGGGCCGGCAAGCTTGATCTGGTCATTGCTTGCACCAGGGGCGCCCTGAGCTTCGGCGTGGACTCGGAGGGGGCGGGCAGCGAGCGAACGATCCTGACGCTAGACGGCGTGAGCCAGCAGCTCGGCCAGCTGGAGTTGGACGCCTCCCCGGCCAAGACGCCTTGCCGAAAGAGCCCCGGCCCCCCCGAGGGGCCGCGACGATTTCAAAATGGGACAATGTCCAACATGTTGCTTTCCTCCAGCTGGACCGCGGGGAATCATCATGGAACGCCCGCGCGCCATCGAATCGCCGCGCCCCGCCTGCCCACGCCGTTGAATCGCGCCGGGCGAGCCGCGGAGGCGCGACCAACGCGGCCCCCGAGCCAGGCCGCCGCGTGATCGCCATGGAAAGTCATCGCCGCGATGATGCTTCATTCCGCAATCGCCAGGCATAGCGTCCGCGCGAATGTGGGCGCGAGCCGCAGTCGAAGCGCAGGCGGAGTCGGCGCGCGCGCGCAGCCGTCGAAAGGCCAGGTGCTGCCCCGGCCGCGCGGCCGATAGCTTGCGCGGGAGAAACCTCCCAAGCTGATCTACGAAGGAACGCGCCGGCGCGGGGCCGTCGGACCGCGAGAAAGGGCCATTTTGGAGACCCCGCGTGAAGAAGAAACGCTCGAGCGTGAGCGCCACGTGGGGGATTGGCGGGGCGCTGGAGGCCGTTGGATCTCATGCCCGCGCAAGTAGAGCAAACTCCGCTTCTGGGGAGTAGCGCTCGCGGGGCCCACCGCGGGCGCGGGGGCCGCTGGCGCAGACTCTGCCGCGACCGCGGCGAGGCCCCGGCGCTCTCCCCTGGAGGCCGCGGCGCGCGGCTGCGCTGGCGTCGGAGAAGAGAGGCCTGACGGCAAACGTCCGCTTCGAAGCCTCAGCGGCCGGCCGCGGGCGCGGCGGCGCAATCGCGAGCCCGCCGCGCGAGGCTGCGCAGCCCGCCGCGAGGGCATCCTCTCCAACCGAGCGGGGTTGCCCGGGGGAGCCCCCGGCCCCTTCCCCGACCCCCCCGCCGCCTTTCCGCGGCGCCCTGCCCCCCCTCCCCGTGTGACCATTTTTTTGTTGGCAACGATTTTGCATGTTTTTTTTGCCATCCGCGGAAGCGCACTTTTTTGTCGCGTTTTTTTTTCACGCTTGAATCAATAAGAAAATCATGTTCGTGGGTGGTTTCGTGGGGCCTTCCAAGGAAGCGCGGAATCGCGGCCGAAAATCTCCGGCAAAATCGCGCCCGGAATCGCGGGCAAAATCGCGTCCGATATCGCGTGGCCAGAATCGTGGGCGACATCGCGGGCACAGAATCGCGGGCCTGCCCAGTGCGCCGGCGCGCCAGGCAGGCGCGCCCGCGCAACTCGGAGACAAGAGGAAGCGGCAGCAGCGGCAGGAAGACCAGCAGCAGCAGCGGGCAAAGGACAGAATGGGAAGCAGCAGCAGAAGAGAAGGAGAATAGGAATCGTCGAAATTGGCCCGCCCGTTCGTCGCGCGCCCCACGGCGCGCTGGACATGCTCCTGGGGGGAGACTCGCGGGCCCCACGGGCCAGAGGCGCGCGAAGATCTCCGGCGACTGCCTCGCAGAATTTCTACTTCGCGCGCGCGGGGCGGCCCAAGGGTGCCCCCGGGCGCTATGTGCCCCGGCCAGGTCGGGCCAGATATGGCTCTTCTCCTGGGCGCGGCTTTCAGGCGCCCCGAAGCGATGCAAGAGGGCCCCAAGAGGCTCCCGAGACGGTCCAAGATGGCCCCGAGTCGTCGAACGATCGGACCGCAACGCTCACGATGGCTTCCAGACGGCCCACGACGCGCGCAAGACCCCCGAAGAGGCCACCGCGATCTGAAACGATACCCGACAACGCGCATCTGAGCTTTGAAGAACAATGGTAACAGAGAGACAAAGCGGAAACAAACCGGGGGGCGACGCCGCTCGAATGACGCGTCGAGGCGAGATTGCGCACAAGCCGCACGCCGAATGCCCAATATCGGAGCGGGTCGACAAAATCGCTGCACCAATCCGCTTGGGGAGCGCAGCTTCACGAGGATGCCCCTCGCGAATGCGGCCTTGAGCAGCGCGGGCAACATCTCGGAGGAGTTCAATATTCTGGATCTGTCTGGATGGAGGCGACAGCTTGTCGAGGTCAGTCTGGCTGAACGCCTCCCCCGCGATCTGCTTGAAGATGAGGGACTTGATAATGTACTGGGTAATCGGCTGGTTCTTCTCGGCCTCGAGGTCGCGCATGGCGAAGGCGATGAGGGCGGCGGCGCGGTTGCAGACTCGACGACGAGACAGCTCCTCAGGGGTGGAGAAGCTTGTGGAGGCGACGGTCAGCTGGATCATCTGGGATGGCGTGATGGAACAGAAGCATCGGTCGATGGTCGACTCGGCCATGGTCTCGGCGCGGTTGTGCGTGGTGTCGTTGCCATCGATTTTCACCAGGCGTTCGAGCGCACCGTGTCATTTGCACGCCCACGCTGCGGATGTCTCAGCGGCCTCAGACGAGGCTCTGGAGGAGGGCTCAGTGAGCTTCAACTCCCCGACGGCGGCCGTCGCAAGGTGCTGGTCGCTGAGGATCATCGTCGAGATGCACCTGATTGCCGCAGCGTTGATCTCGTAGTTGTGGATGTTGTAGAATTTCATTTTCGGGTCGTCGGCTTGGGCCATGGTTCGCAGTGCGCGGCCAGGGAAGAGGGCTTCGATCTCAGCTTGCAGACCTGCAGGGGCGACTGGGGCGACTCCACCGCTCACGTCGCCATGGGCGCCTGGCGCGAAGGAGGAGTGCATCGAGCGCTTGGAGTCGATCCTCCTCATGAAGGCGAGCAGCTCAGTGCGATTCTGGTGGGCCTCCTGGACGCCGAAGATAATCTTGGCCAGGGGGGGCGCAGGTAATTCGCCGGCCCAGCGGGCCAGGGCGTGCTAAGATCTCCGGTAACTGGTTAACAGTATTAACAGTATTTCTAGTTCGCGCGCGCGGGGCGGCCCCTGGGGGTCCCCCGGCGAAAAGTACCCCGACCAGCGCCCGGTCGCCGCCCGACCGCCGCCCGACCAAGTCTACTCAGAGATGGTTTTCCTTCTGGGTGCGGCCTCTCAGGCTCCCCAGAGCGCGCCCAGAGTGCCCCAAGAGGCCCCCAAGACTGCCCAAGAGGCCCCCGAGACGCCCAAAGAGCGCTCGAAGACGCCGAAGATGACCCCAAGACGGCCCGGAAGGCCCCCAAGACAGCCCAAGAGGCCTCCAAGCCGCCCCAAGAGCCTTCCAAGAGGCCTCCGAAGAGAGCCCCAAGAGGCCAAAATCGTTGGTTTTCATGTTTTTTTGTGCTCTGGCTTTTTCGGCTTCCGGACGCTCCAAGACGGCCCAAGAGGCCCCCAAGGCCGCTCCAAGACGGCCCACGAAGCTCCCAAGACGGCGCCGAAACGACCCAAGAGAGCCCTCAAGACGGCCCAAGTGCCGCCCAAGACGGACCAAGAGGCCCCAAGACGGGCCCAAGAGGGACTCAGGAGGGATACCGAGAACTCAAAAATGGAGCCCTCCGTCCCAGAAGGCGCCCAGGAGGTCCCAAAGAGGCCCCAAGAGGCCTCCAAGAGGCCCCAAGATGTCGCCAAGAGGCCCCAGGAGACTCCCAGGAGGCCCAAAAGAAGCCCAGAAGGCTTCAAACATGTCTCCCAGGCGCCCCCGAACGGCCTCTCAACAGACCCCAAGAGGCCCCCCAAAGAAGCATCTTGACGACGACTCTATTTCGCCCCATCGAGAGACGACCCCCAGGGAACTGCTTCACCATCAAAACTCCCCACGCAACGCGTCCGAACGACACCCGCCCCAAAGAGCGCATCATGGGCAACGAACGCACAGACAAAAACCAGCGATGCCATATCACGGGCCGGCGGAATGAGCGAAGCGATTCAATTAGGGGGACTTCTCGACCGCGCGGCGCCGCTGAGGGGGGCGCGTGCATTCCATGTTCCCACGACCAAGCTCAGCGACGGACCACATGAGGCTCGCTTCGAGCCTTCTGCGTTCTTGTCGAAGCCAGAAACGGGGAGCAGCCTCGGGCGCGACCACGCGCGCGCGACGCCGATGCCCAGGGCGGGGCCCAGGGCGCGATGCCCTGGGCGGGGAGGCCAGTATCCTGGTAGGCGACCTTAGTAGCTTCACCACGTCCAGGATGAACCTTGAAGGAGAGGGCTAGAACCCACTTGGCCGAGACCCAGCCCTTGGCTCGGTCGACCCTCCAGGCGCGGTGGGGGAACGCTCTCTCGAGGACCTGCCGAATCCGCATGCCGACGATATCCGTCTTGATCTGCTTGGGCGACTTGTCGGGGCCGACGCGCAGCTCCACCGGTCCGCTGCCAGCAATAGCAGGCGCGCGGATGCGAGTCCAGCTGCCGTCGCGGTTGCGGAGACTGCCCAAAACTTTCAGCACACGGCGAGAGGCAGGGCCAGGGAGGCCCGTGAACTGGATCGTGAAATATCGCGATGTGTCTTGTCCTTGAATTTGGAAAAGAGACTTGTCGATGCCGCACTCGGTGATCCACTTGGCAAGCGCTTCCGTGGCTCTGTCCAGCGTGGCCAGGCCGTCGGCGTGCACTTTGATGATGGTGAGGTCGACTGCCCTGTCTAAATCGCGCCCGGTGAAGGTCTCCCGCACGGGCTGCTTGTTCGCAACTTTGAGCGCCTTCTGCAGCGCCGTGATATGTTCTGCCATGTGGCTGATGGTCTTGTCTGCCTGCTTCTGGCGGCTCCCGATGTCGGCCATCCTGGATGAAGGCGTCGAGCTGCTGCTGCTGGAACGCTTTGCGGGTGGCGTCAATCAGCTGGCCGACGGCGACGCCGACCTCCTGTTCGATCTGGCCCGAGAGGCCATTGCTGACCGCCTGGGCCGCCGCGAGAGCGGCGGAGATGGGACCCGTGGCGCTGCCTGAGAGTCTGGACGCAGGCCATAGTGGCGAAGGAGTCCAAAGCAGCTTCTTCATTGGGGGGTGGAGTCCGCGACCGATCGCCACGACCACCAGGAGGATCACTATCGCCATGGCCCTTGCGCTTCTGGATGCCGCCACGACGGAGCGCCCCGTCTGCGACCGTGGCTGATGGTGCAGCGTCCGCCATGAGAAGACAAAACACAGGAGACGTACGATAAACGAGGCACCCTTGCCTCGAATATGCTCGAATGCGTTCCGCGGACTAACGGTCTCGGTGCGGCCAGGAAGAGGAAAGCCCCCCCAAACCGGCATCTTGAGCAAACATGGCGACGGAGGAAGAGGAAGAAAAGGAGGCGGAGGAGGAGGAAGAGGAGGAGGACGAGGAATATACATCAAAGCCGGGGGAGGAGGAGGAGGAGGAGGAGGAGGAGGAGGAGGAGGAGGAAGAGGAGGAGGAAGGAGGAGGAGGAGGAAGGGAGGAAAGGAAGGGGGAGTAGGAGGAGGAGGACTAAGAGGAGTATACATGGAAGGCGGAGAAGGACGAGGAGGAGGAGGAGGACGGGATGGTCTGGTGGGCGGTGACGCCCCCTTCTTGGCCGCCTCCAGGAGCAGCGAGGGCGCGCCCCGCTGATTCGTCCTTCTCCGCCTCCTCCTCCGCCCTCCTCCCCTGCTCCTCCTCCTCATCCACCTCTCATCCTCCTCCTTTTCATGATCTTCCTTTTTCTCCCTCCCCCCCCCTCTCCTCCTCCTCCTCCTCCTCCTCCTCCTCCTCCTCCTCCTCCCCTCCTCCTCCTCCTCCTCCTCCTCCTCTTCCTCCTCCTCCTCCCCTCCTCCCTCCTCCTCCTCCTCCTCCTCCTCCTCCTCCTCCTCCTCCTCCTCCTCCTCCTCCTCATCTAATTTCTCCTCTCCTCTTCTCATCCTCCTTCTCCCCCTCCTCCTCCTCCTCTTCCTCCTCCTCCCTCCTCCTCCCCCCTCTCCCTCCCTCCTCCCTCTCCTCCTCGTCCCTCCTCCTCCTCCTCCTCCTCCTCCTCCTCATCCTCCTCCTCTTCCTCTTCCTCCGTAGCCATTTTGGCTCAAGCCTCGCTTGGACCCCGTGCGGGGTCCAAACGGGGTGCGAGCCCCGTTGCCTGTCTGGCTCAGTGGGCTGCCCGACGCGCGTGGGGTCTCCTTCGGGGCGCGCGGCGGGGCGGGGTGAAAAAGGCACGTCGTTAGCGGTGGCGCGCGACGAAAAATCCGACATTTGTCGGTGCCTGCGGCCGCCTTCTCCCCTAACCTCCAACCTCCATGTCCCTCCTCGCCGGTGGCTCGGGGCGGCTCGCTGGTTGCCCGGTGCGGCTGGGCGGCGGAGGCTGGGCGGCGTGGCTGGAGCCTGCCGCGGAGGAGGAGGCGTTCTGCAGGTCAGCGGCTCTGGCGGCGTGCAGGCTGGAGCAGGTGGAATGCGTAGACCTCAGCGAGTGCGAGGTCGCCACTGAGTTCGAGGTCGACACGGAGTGCGTGGACTACTCCGACCTCGCTGCGCAGCTCGCGCAGGCGCAGGAGCTGCGCGATGCGCTGGCTGACGAGTGCATGGAGCTTCGTGCCCTCGCGTGGCGGCTGCGGGGAGGCGCTCGCGGCAAGCCGCACGACGAGCTGGTCGTTGGCGGCGGCTACGAGGTGGACGACGGCGTTGACGCTGACGGCAGCGACTGCGAGGCGCTGGGCGAGCTGGAGAGCATCGTGGGGTGCGACGGCGACGTTTTCGGCAAGGAGAGCATCGTGGGGTGCGACGGCGACGTGTTCAGCAAGGACGGCAGCGGCTGCGAGGCGCTGCTCGCGAAGGAGAGCATCATGGGGTGCGACGGCGACGCGCTCGACAAGGACAGCATCGTGGGGTGCGACGGCGACGCGTTCGGCAAGGACGGCAGCGGCTGCGAGGCACTAGACGACAGCATCGTGGGGTGCGACGGCGGCGCGTTCAGCAAGGACGACGGCAGCGGCTGCGAGGCGCTGCTCGTGCAGCACGGGCGGACCAGCGCACCCGGCACCCGGCACCCGGCACCACCAGAGCAGACAGCATCGTGGGGCGCGACGGCGGCAGTGGCAGCGGCTGCGAGGCGCTGGACGCGCTGGAGCGCATCGTGGGGTGCGACGGCGGCGCGGTCGGCAACATGGAGAGCATCGTGGGGTGCGACGGCGACGCGTACGACGGCGACGAGTTCGGCAAGGACGGCATCGTGGGGTGCGACGGCGACGCGTTCGGCAAGGTCCCGCCCTTCCCGACGCTCTCGGAGGTGGCCGTGGAGAGCGAGCTGGAGCTCAAGGATGCTCCTGCCCAGGAGGGCGCTCTTGGTCAGGCCGTGCTGGGCCCGAGCGTTGCCTGCTGGGCCGACGCGCTGGAGCAGCAGCAGGCGGGCGTGCAGTGCGAGCAGTTCGTGGACCCGCGCGACTGGGACATGGTCTTCCTGGCCAACAGTGCCGCTGCCGCCTGGCGTGAGGCAGCGCTGGACGCCCGCGCGGCCGCGGAGCGCCTCGTGCAGGATGTGCTGGTCGAGATGCCCGTGGACGTCGAGGCGTTTGGGTGCAAGAAGAAGGCGAAGAAGAAGAAGCAGCACAAGAAGTTGCTTCGGGCCGACGTCGTGGAGGCGACTGTGGGCTTGGACAGCGTGGCGGCGGAGGACCCTCGTCCTCCTGGCGCGGCGGGCGTCTGGGCTTTCCTCGAGAAGGCCTACGCCGCGGGCGTGCCGCCCGACATCGCCGCCGACCTGGTGCGGGACCAGGTGGTCCTCTGATGTTCGTCGTGGTGGGCCTCGGCGAGCTCAAGGACTGGCTCAGAAGTTGGGGGCACCCTTTGATTGCCCTGGGGACTCGTCTGCCTGACGAGTGCGGAGTTCGTCGCGGTGCACCTCGGCGCGTTCGTGGCGGTCCTCCGAGGAGGCCGCGCCCGCGCGAGTGGCCGCGCGCGGGCGCCTGCGTGGCCGACAGCCCGCGCAGATGCTTGCGGAGTCCTCTTCCTCTTCCTCCTCCTCCGCCCTCCGCCCTCCGCCCTCCGCCCTCCGCCCTCCGCCCTCTCCTCCTCCTCCTCCTCCTCCGCCTCCTCCTCCTCCTCCTCCTCTTCCTCCTCCTCCAATTTCTCCTCCTCCTCCTCCTCCTCCTCCTCCTCCTGCTCGCCCTCGCCCCCGCCCTCGCCCTCGCCCTCGCCCTCGCCCTCCCCCTCCTCCTCCTCCTCCTCCTCCTCCTCCTCCTCCTCCTCCTCCTCCTCACCTCCGCTCCTCCACCTCCGCTCCTCCACCTCCGCCTCCTCCTCCTCCTCCTCGTCCTCCTCCTCCCCCCCTCCTTCCCCTCATCCTCCTCCTCCTCCTCCTCCTCCTCCTCCTCCTCCTCCTCCTGGCCGCCCCCGGGAGCAGCGAGGGTGACGCCCCGGGCCCCGGCCAGCCGGGCCGGAAACGGCGCGCATGGCTTGGACGCCCGCGCCGATCGAGGGGGACCGCGCCGGGGAAGCCGCGGCGCTGCTCGCCGGCCCTGCCGTGCCGCCCCTCTGCGAGCCAGTCGGAGGAGGAGGAGGAGGAGCAGGAGGAGGAGGAGGAGGAGAGGGAGGAGGAGGAGGAGGAGGAGGCGGAGGAGGAGGAGGAGGAGGAGGGGGAGAAGGAGGAGGAGGAGGAGGAGGAGGAGGAGGAGGAGGAGGAGGAGGAGGAGGGGGGTTGTCTCGTCGAACGCATCGGCCGCGTCCACCACTGGGTGTTTTTGTGGCCGTCCTCGAACAGAGATCCAACGTATGGACAAAAATCAAAATGGAGGCTTTTAAAAATGAAATTTCGGCCCCTCGGGGCCGTCGCCGGGCCTCGGGACCGTCACAAAACGCAAGATGAAAAACCGGTCCTGGGGAATGGGTCGAGACTTTCGGGAGCCTCGCATTGAACAAATCACGACATCGGACCTCACGGGAGGAGCGAGAATACCGGGTGCTCTAGTGGCCATCCTTTGGGGCCCCGTGCAGGCTTCAGGGGGCCCCCGTCGGGTGCGCTGAAAAGGGGCGCCGCGAAAAGGGGGGTGGAAACATCGTGGCCCAGGGGCGAGGGGGGGGGCCACGGAGCGTGTCTAAACAAGACGACCCAAAGATCCAACGCATTGAAAAAGTAAATACGGATTTGTTGTCGCTAATTTTGGCCATTAGGGGCCGTCGCCAGGCCTCGGGACCGTCAAAAACAACTTAGGATGAAAAACCAGTCCTGGGAAATGGGTCGAGACTTTCGGGGACCCCGTATTAAAAAGATCAAGACATCGGATCTCTGGGGAGGGGGCTATGACATCTGGGGATCTCATGGCCTCGGCCATGATATCCACCACCCCTGGTCCTTCCCCCCTTGGGCGCCCCAGACCCCCGAGACCCGTAGGAAAATACTGATCACCTTGCCTTCACCCCAGTCGTATTGAAACATCTGCCAGCCCTCTCTTTCAAGAGATCGCCGCAAACGCCTCTCCCGCTGGTGCCAACATGGCTGGGATGATCGAGAACGGAATACGACGAGAAACCAGTCCTGGGCATAGGCAGCAAGCTCCAGGGCCCACGCTGCGAGAATAAAACGTCAGAGGTTTGGGTAGCCTTAGGTCGGGCATGTCCCCCTACAGGCGGATATTGGGCGGAAAAAATAATCAAAACACAAATTGCAAACATATTCAAAAAGATACAAACAAAAACGTCCCCTGACTATGTTTCCATTTAGTGTTCCTCCTGTAGAAGGACAGGCCCGACTTCAGGGTAGCCCCACTGGCCTGGGCTGCCACCAGAGAGCGCAAGCTGCCGAGGAGGGGGGTGATAGGGGGGGGACGCAGCGGAGAAACAGGAGGATCGGGAGCAGGAGGAGCAGGAGGAGCAGGAGGAGCAGGTGGGGGAGGAGGAGGAGGAGATTAGGAGGAGGAGGAGGAGGAGTAGGAGGAGGAGCAGGTGTAGGGGGATCGCAGGAGAGGGGGGGGAAAGAAAAACACGACGGCAACTCCCTCCCATGTTCCACTCCGTTGCCTGCGCTCCTCCACATTCGTGCTGCTTCTGTCACACATGCCTGTCGGGCCCCCGCATTCGTGCTGTTTCTGTCACACATGTCTGTCTCAGTCTGCGCTTCAGTGCGCCTCTGCGAGCGGATCTCAGTTCCGCCCCCTCTCTCCTCTCCTCTCTCCCCCATCCCCTCTCCCTCCCGCTTCCCCTTCTCCCCCTCCCCCTCTCCCCTCCCCCTCGTCCCCCTCGCTTTCCCCCCCTCCCACGCTCGCCTCGCCCTGCGCCTTGGCGGTCGTGTAGAGGTACGACCACACCTGCGCCGCCCATCTTTCCGCTCGGAGTCCCAGCGCGAGCGGTCATCCGTGGGTGGTTACATCAGCAATTCCCCCATCCCCTCCACCCCTTCCCCCTAGAAGGAAGAGGGACAGGGAAGGGGAAGGGGGAATGAGAGAAGAGGAAGACGACTGGCAATGATTACCTGGTGGACTGGCGCACAAACAACGAGGAGGGATGGGGGCGGGGAGATGCTTGGGTGCGCATCGGTCCCGGGCGTCCCCCAACGCGGAGGTCCCAACAACATTTGCGGGCTGTTAACCACTTGACGGGCGTGGCGAACAGAGCGCAGCAAAATCGCAGGAGGGAAATCGGCGAACGATACAGATAACAATGGGGGCCCGCCCACGAAAAACCGTCCACAAGGAAACCAACCATGAGACCCCAGGACGTCCTGGTTATGGGAACGTCACGCGTTCCATAACAACACCATCGAAAACCAAGAAAACCATGGCACCCTGTTGGCAAGCAGGGTGTTTCTTCGCATGGGTATCCACCATGCCTGTTTGGGCCGGGCTGCAATGCCAGTCTCCATGGCGACAGAGGCACGCCCGTCCTTCACAACGACCGGCGCGGCATGCAAACGGCTTCAATGCCACCCAGCGCGCCAGTTTTTACGTGCTCTGGGCGTGCACCCCGCGAAGCGAGACGAATCCACATCTAAAGTGACGTGTCGCCGGAGACACGTGGAGGAGCTGGAGCCCAAACGCATTGCGTCCACTGTCTCAAAATACAGTGGATGGACAGAACCCCGTTTTTAATAAAACGTGGCTTAGTGAAAACAACCTCGGGCCCAAACCTGGCGGGCGCAAGCCTGGAAAATGACGGCCGAAGCGCCCTCTCGAGAACCGAAAACGGATAATGCACGAATCAACGTGTCAGGGTGAGGGTTCTGTCCAACCCCGAAAGTATTGCATATTGCCACGTAGTGTAGGGCGTTGCGATACTATGCTCCTTCCGTACTCCACCCCTCCAGAGTCGCGCCAACTCCGCGGACTCAAACGGCAACTCTCTCTCTGGAGCCCCGATTTTCAAAACGCATGGAGGATCAATGATGGGGGGTCCAAGAGGGCCCCACGACGGCTCAAGATGGTCTCGAAACGGGCCACGATGACCAAAGCCGGCCCAACATGGCCCACGAGGGCCCCAAGAGCGCCTCCAGAGGCCAACAACATTTGTTCTTCCGGGCTTTCACATTTCGAAGCGTTGTTCGCAATTTTCGACAGGCAGCATCCAACATGCATGGCCCCCATACGGCCCTGGAGGCCCGCCAGAGGGGCTCCAGGATGGCCAAAAGAGGCCCCCCGAAACGGTCCCAGAGGCCCCCACGACGGTCCAAGAGGGCCCCGACACAGCTCCAAGGCGGCCCCCCAAAGGCCCCCAAGACGGCCTGTGATGGGGGTCGGACGGCGCAGTGGCGCCCAGGGACGGCCCAAGAGGTCGCTGGCCGAAAAGGCCCCCAAGAGGCTCCCAAGAGGCCCCAAAGAGGTCCCCCAGATGCGTTCTAGAGGCCCGAGCAGCCTTCTGGATGCTCTGACGCACGCATGAAAAAGTGCAAACCTTTCCTGACATGAGCGGGGAGCGCGTAAAAGCGACGAGTTGCGCAAGACCGCACAACGTCATCACGATCGAACGTAATGTGCGCGAGCCCCTGGACGTTCGCAAGGGATGCCTATGGACGCGCGCCCCCCGAGCGTTGGCAAGCTTGTGTCTGAATATCGACTCTCTCCTCTGCGCACCTCCAGGTTCATCCTTCCTTGCGTTGACCCTACAGACCCAACAGGCCCCACGTACACTAACCCCACAGACCCTAACCCTATAGACCCTAACCCTACATACCCGAATCCTACAAAACCTAATAACACTTCAAGCCCTAACCCTAAAGACCCTACATACCCTAACCGTACAGACAGTACCCCTAGATAGTCTAAACCTACGTACCCTAACCCTACATACCGTACTGATCCTAGAGACACTAAGCCTGCTGACTCGACTAACCCTGCATACCTTAACCCTACACTAACCCTAGAGACCATAGCCCTTACAGACTGCGGCCGAGGCGCCGGCAGCGGAGGGGCCGGCGGCGCGAGCGGCGGCCGCGTCCCTCTGCCGGCGGCGCCGAGCGGCTGGCGTCTCCATCGCGAGCGGGCCCGAGCGCGCGCCGACCTGAGTCAGGGGCGGGCTCGAACCGACATGGCTTGAGCCAACGGGGCCTACGGACAGGTGGTGGGGATACGCGAAGCGTCAAGAATCCCACCAGCCCTCTGGGCGTAGGTGGTTTAGGGAGTTTCCTCTTCCACCCCTCCTTCTTTCCCTTCGGGGAGGGGTGCACCCCCTCCCCCTACCCCCTCCCCTGGACCTGGACGGGGGAGCCGCTGGTCGGCAGAGCGTCCAAGATGGCCTCGGCGAGGAAGTCGACATCAGTGATTTTCCCAAGGCTTTGGCTCCATTTTCGCCTCCAGGGGG